CTGCAGAATGCAAGCTGCAAACACATTACCACTGTCTCTGTCGATAGGAGAAAAGGGATTTTGAAAAATGGAATTGCAACATGAGATTATGTTTGTTTTATGAGTTATTGTTTTCTTTTTATCATAGAAACTACTGTTATTTCCATTGCACACGCTGTGTTGCACAAAAATATGCCATTTCGTATCCTAGTGTTTATATGGAATTTAATGTGTACGCGAACACTGCATGAACACATGAACATATAATTACATATGTGTACACTGTGTCGACATATGCTGATGTGTGTAGGCATGTGCATACGTGTGCATATTCATGCACACGTATGTACATGCGTATGTTTAGCCGTAACTCATTAAAGGTAGGCATACCTACTTTGTTTTCACAGAAGATATATATATAACTCATATCCATATAAATGCTACAACAATTATTTGCCAGATTTGATTTAGCTTTTTCATTATTTAAGGCATCAATGTACAAATTTACTTGTGTTTCTTTTGTTCATTCTACATCGGTGCAGGATTTTTTTTTCTGAATGATACAAGCAGGCGAAATACGTTTTTTTTTTCTTTCAAAATATACGAAAACTATGCTACAAATGCTGATCATTGTTCTACTATGGTGACCCTTAGTGTTCTCATGATCGTCCTCTCCACTAACATAAAAAAACACATAAAAAATAAATCTATAAATACAAACAAATTGATAATTTTAATTCACTGCCAAAAAAACGTATTATGTGCAATGCAATAACTACCAATCCAATAACAAAATAAAACGACCTCCTGAACAAGCGATCTCGGTAAATAATGAATTTTGGATGACGTTAAAGTATCATCATCCATCGTTATCTCAATGTCCGTGGATTATTCTTAAACCATCAATAAACAAAACCAGCGGCTTTCACTGTCAGAACGTAAGGGCGTCATCTCGTGATGGTCTGGGAGGAACGTAGTCTCGACTCCTTAAACGGGTTCTTTTCCATTAAGCAGTGGGGGGAAATGTGGCGTCTAATTGTTGACTAGATAAACAATAATCTATTAGCATCTAGGCAATTACAGCAATTACCAGATCCCATTTAATTAATTATTTGGTTCTGTTCGAAAATACGCCTAGAAAGGACACTCCAGTGTATACAGGAAACATACAAAACAATGTTCACACATAAGTTCATCATAACATTCTTGAAAATCAGATTTCATTCACATAGTTTCATTACTTAGATAAATAAAAAACTGAAAATATATATATAAGATAAAAATATAAGAAATTGATCTACGGGCATTATTCATGATGAAAGCAGTCCTGTAACTTCTCGATCACGATCATAGGACCTCGATAGAGAAATATTTTACACAGTTCCTTTTGTGCGCAGAAAAGAACCCTTCAGAAAGTGTCCATATTTTGAAATATAAATAGAAGAGGAAGGAAGTAAGAAGAAGAGGAAGAAGAAAAGAAGGAGGAAGAGGAGGGGAGGGAGGGAGAAAGAGGAGGAGGCTAGGCAGTGAAGCAGAAAGAGGATATAAGAAGAAAAAAAAGGAAGTAGGAAGAGGAGGAGAAGCAGCGAAGAGCAAGAATGAGGAGGAAGGGGAGGAAAAAAAGGAGGTAAATAAGGGGAGGAGGAAAAGGAAGAGTAAGAGATGAGAGTGAACAAGAAGAGGACGGAAGGAAGAAGGAAAGGAAGAGGTGGGATGTAGGAAAAGGAGGGAAGGAAAAAGAGGAAGAGGAGCAGCACAGAAGAAAGGAGAGGAGATAAGGAGGACAGATAAAGAGAGGAGGGATATAAAAATAGACAGGGAGACATTGGATAGATAAACAGAAAAGTACATTGAAAGGAAGAGTTAGATGAATAGAGAGAGAGATAAAAAGAGGGGGGGAGAGAGAAAACTGAGAGAGTGATGAGGATAAAGCAAGAGAAGGAGAAACATAAAGATAAACGGGAACTTAAGTAGAGACATAACTAGACATAAACAGACATATAGATAGAAAGATAGAAATAGATGAGATAGAGACAGAAAGAGGAAGAAAGAGAGAGAGACTATGTACGCAACAGACGGCGCTGACAAGGCAGTTGCCTGTCACGTATTATAAGACGTATATTTTCCCCGAAAGTACTGTTGATTTCCCGTGTTGCTCGGCTCGGAGAAGTCAGCATCAGCGGACATTAAGGGGATGTCTATCACTTTCAGCGATTGCATGCAGGTGAAGTTGGACATCTGTCTGACATCTTCCCCCTCTCTATCTATCTATTTATTTATCTGTCTGTCTGTTTCTCTCTATCTATCTCTCTCCTCTCCTTTCTCCTCTCTCTCTCTCTCTCTCTCTCTCTCTCTCTCTCTCTCTCTCTCTCTCTCTCTCTCTCTCTCTCTCTCTCTCTCTCCTCTCCTCTCCTTTCTCCTCTCGCTCTCTCTCTCTCTCTCTCTCTCTCTCTCTCTCTCTCTCTCTCTCTCTCTCTCTCTCTCTCTCTCTCTCTCTCTCTCTCTCTCTCTCTTTCTTCACTGTGAATACTTAGTGGTTTGAACCTTCTTAAAATGTTTGCAGTCTAACTGAAGAAGAAAAAGGAAAACAAAAGAGTACGTAGAAAGGAAGGAAGAAATGCTTATTCTACTTTGTTAGAAATGCTGTGATTAAAAAGAAATCCTGCAAAAGATGCAGTCCTGTTTGCGTATTAAACCCAGTAACATCTTCTGACTCACTGAATTTGTGCTCTATCTCAAGGTCACTGGTAAACATAATATTACTGTTATCTGTTATGAAATATCAAAGTTTTCACATCCTGAGGTACACGAGATGGCATTCCGAGCGACAATGCTGACTTTCTCTGAAGCAACAAGCCTTGACTCAGTACCCCCCCCTCCCTCCTCCCCTCTAGATCCCCTCTCCAGTTGCTTGCCTCCCTCTTGCCTCCAACCCAGCGAAGTCAAACCCAATCACAACACTACAAGCTGCCTCAGATCTATGGTTGTTTAACAGTTACACAATTGATAAAATCATCGTAAAAAAAATGATATTCGTTGCATCCGCTGCATTGCGGTGAGGCTGATCAGGTTAATTTGGCTTAATATTCACACATGTTTTAGTATCATATTCTTGCCTTAAGTACAAACGTGTCTAACACCACGCCTACTACCATCATTATAACAACCATAAGTACATCCTTAAATTTCCTGCCGTCATCCATCTGCTACCATGAAAAATGCAAGTCACGAGCTATGGGTGTTATGCGTGTCAAGCATCACCTAATTTTGGCATACCGAAGTAGGACGCCAAAGGTCCCTTAGGTTTTGTGGCCCACGGCGGTTTGTGTGGGTACATAGTGGTAGATTAAAGTAGATAGTAGATTACCTTATGCCATGGATATACATAAAAGAAGAATCGCAGTATACGTATAGTTGATATTTATCATTAAGAACATACCCCAACGACACTCTGCCATAAATGTATGTAGATAACAGGTCCATCAGATAATTAAAAAACGATATTGCAATTAGGAAATGAATAGACACCCTACAAAATATGTTTCATATTCTCATCTCTCTCTCTCTTTCTCTCTCTCTCTCTCTCTCTCTCTCTCTCTCTCTCTCTTTCTCTTTCTCTCTCTCTTTCTCTCTCTCTCTCTCTCTCTCTCTCTCTCTCTCTCTCTCTCTCTCTCTCTTTCTCTCTCTCTCTCTCTCTCTCTCTCTCTCTCTCTCTCTCTCTCTCTCTCTCTCTCTCTTTCTCTCTCTCTCTCTCTCTCTCTCTCTCTCTCTCTCTCTCTCTCTCTCCCTCTCTCTCTCCCTCTCTCTCTCTCTTTCCCGCTCTCTATCTCTCTCTCTAGCGTTCTATGCGTTCGAGAAGGTAAAAGTATAATCTTGAACAGCCTTTAAATCAAAGTGGTGACGGGGATGAGGAGGACTGATGCTGGGGAAGGCGCAGAAGGAGTGGGCGGCGAGGGCGGCTGTGGGAGGAGGGTGGACGGAGGGAAGAGGTTTGGGGGGATGGGGCGGTGTCACGTGTGCATGATTCCCACGGCTGCGGGGGGAGTTCATAGTTATGTTGACGGCGCTGTATTCTTCACGTACAGATAAAAACACACACACAAATACACACACATATAGCACACACACATATGCACACACATACACACATATACAGCACACGCATACACACACACACACATACATACACACAATTACTCACGCGCACACCCATATACACACATACAGCACACACATACACACACATATACATACACATACTTACAAGCTCACACACAGATACACATATAGGTGTGCGTGTGTGTGTGCGTGTGTGTGTGTGTGTGTGTGTGATATCCAAAAAGAGCAAGTTTCACCCTATGTCACTGTTGAAAAAAAGGAGGTTTTATTTCAAACAGTG